ATTAATATATTTTAGTTCATTTATTTCATTTATCTATATGTATTGTATGATTTTGCTGCAGTTAGCTTCCCCCCTTCTTACATCTCCAGTTAACTCAAGATATTCATTACAAGATCTTCTGTTGTAGTTTTATCTGCTGCCGGTGGCATCAAGCTGAATCGCCCTGGTTTGAGTAACGGTAAGGGCATTTTTCTTCTATTTCTACCACTACATGTATAAGCATTCTGGTTTCAAAGTTCATCTGATTTAGAGTTGTTAGTCTTGAAAAGCTGGTTTTTTTTTTTTCTGGGTTACAGGAGTAATTGTGCTTGTTGCTGTTGCAATATTAGTTTTGTTATTCAGCCTGCAACATTATGGTACAGAAAGAGTTAGTTGGCTCTTTGCTCCAATTGTCCTGCTTTGGTTTCTCCTAATTGGAGGTATAGGTTTATTCAACATCTTGAAATATGGCAACACCGTTCTAAGAGCTTTTTCACCTCTATATATATATCGGTATCTAAGAGGAGGTAAAGAAGGTTGGACTTCCCTTGGTGGCATCTTGCTCAGCATAACAGGTACATTCAGTTTTTATAACTGTTGATTTCTTCCTTGTATTTCAGAAGAATTAATGAATGGTTAATTTGAACTTGACAACTTGTGATGATTTTTTTTTTTTTCAAGGGACTGAGGCTCTTTATGCTGACCTAGGCCATTTTCCAGTCTCATCTGTACAAATTGCATTTACTCTACTTGTGTTTCCTTGCCTTCTTTTGGCCTATTCTGGACAGGCTGCTTACCTTATGAATAACATGAGTCATTCACAAGATGCTTTTTATCGTTCTATTCCAGGTTTGTCATATTTGTCACTTTATATTTAAATTTCCATTTGTGATGCCCCAATGGTATTTAGAATATGATCAACAGTTTTATTGCTACATTCTTATTACAAACTTCTTGGTGGAACATGGAAGTACAATTTTTCACTTTTCTTTCTCTTTTCGATAGTTTGTGTTGACTAATTTATGATAATTTTCTATTTTTAAGTCATTAAGCTTTTTTAATAAGTTAAATGAGGGGGAAAGGAAGATACTTACACAAAAATATTTTTTGTGTATGACTCACTTGACTTTTTAAAAATATGGTTGACATGGTTGCTCATAGAATTTGTTATCTTAAAAAAATGCAAAACTTAAATGGTTTAACTCAGTTTGCCTAAATACTTGCTCTAGTCTAGATGTACCTAAAGCTGCAGGTTATAAGAAATAACTTCATAGCCAAGTTAGACCAGTCAATTTTCATAGTAAATTCTTGACCCTGATGCATAAGCTTGTGTCCAGTCTGTGTGAATCTATGTAGCATCGATACTGACATGGGACACGGGACACGATACGACATGATATTCTGACACGTGAATTCTAAAAAATGTTAGATTTCGACATGTTAGGACACGTTTTGAGATTGAATAATATCTATAATTTATGTTGCGTATATTATATTTAATATTCAATAATTTAACAAAAAAAATAAAGCTAAACATATAATATCCATTAATTTTGCAAAGAAACATAAGATATCACAAATATTTATATTAAATTCAATAAAATGGTAATAGTAATCCAACGAATCTAATAGTTAGAACTAAAAACGTAACGCAACGCAACGCAATCTTTGAATCTTTTTTTGAGTTTCTACAACCCGCGTTGAAGTGTCGGGGAGTGTCAGACACGACACGTCAGGATTTTTGAAATGTCAGTGCTTCGTAGATGTGAATGCTCTCAATCATTTGCACTTGTTTGCCTTATTGCTTAAGTTTGTATAATATCTTTGGGGATAAACCTACTACAAGAATCCTCTATTCTTTCTTAGAATGATGCACATTAGTTTCTTCTTGTAGTAATTTTTTTTTATCTGTTAAATGTTGATTATCCTTAGTTCTGCAGACAGAATATACTGGCCAGTATTTGTTATTGCAACAGCAGCAACTGTAGTTGCAAGCCAGGCCATAATATCCGCAACCTTTTCAATTATTAAACAAGCCCTTGCTCATGGCTGTTTCCCAAGAGTCAGTGTTGTACATACATCAAAGAAGATCCTTGGCCAGATTTACATTCCAGATATTAATTGGATCCTCATGGTTCTTTGCATTGCTGTTACTGCTGGGTTTAAAAATCAAAACCAGATTGGAAATGCATATGGTAAGTTTTTCCCTTGTAGGAATATTTTTCATGTTTTTTTTTTTTGGTGAATAAGAAAAAGAAATTAATAAGAAAGGAGAGAAAAAGGTAAAACTTTCAGAAGGATATGGAATATTGCCAAGCAGAAAGAGCAAAATCCATCAAGTGAAGAGAAATAAAAAAATTTGTAGCTGAGGTTCTAATAAGCACTACATCAAAGGGTCTCTCCCTACTTTTTTTTACATCAAAGAGTGTAAGAAGTACCACACATGTGCATTTCACCTATAAAAGCGATATGCAATTTAGGTATTAAATATAGGAAAATGTGTTTTTCATGTTACAGAAATTCCTGCAATCGTTTTTCAATTATGTACTCCCTGAAGTACATAATTAAAAGAAAACCAGCAACAGTTTTTTAACTATGTACTCCAAGGAATACATAGTTAAAAAAATTAACTTTAATATTATAACTATGTACTTCTGGGAGTACATAGTTAAAAAACGGTTACAGGAATGCATGTAACATGAGAAAAAAGAGACCCTTAAATATAACATAAATATGTTAGAGATATAACGAAAACCATTCATGTGTCTTTCCCAACTAGTTTAAGCTTTTAAGAGAGTTGTTTCGTAACATGTTATCAAAGTCTTTATGTTCCTCTGATTTTACAATGTCATAGCAGCCTTTCATTTAAGTTTACAAACAATTATATAATATCATTGTAATGACAGGTACTGCAGTCGTGATAGTGATGCTGGTTACAACATTGCTTATGATTTTAATCATGATATTAGTGTGGCGCAGCCATTGGATTCTCGTCATCATGTTCACTGGCTCATCATTGATTGTGGAATGCACATACTTCTCCGCTGTACTCTACAAAGTTGATCAAGGTGGTTGGGCTCCCCTTGCAATTGCTGGAACATTTTTTATCATTATGTATGTTTGGCATTATGGTACATTGAAACGCTACGAGTTTGAAATGCAAAGTAAGGTTTCAATGGCATGGATTCTTGGGCTAGGACCAAGTTTAGGACTTGTTCGTGTCCCTGGTATTGGGCTAGTCTACACTGAGCTTGCAAGTGGAGTACCCCACATATTTTCTCATTTCATCACCAACCTACCAGCCATTCATTCTGTTGTTGTTTTTGTGTGTGTACACTGTCCCAGAAGAAGAGAGGTTCCTTGTGAAGAGAATTGGACCAAAGAATTTCCACATGTTTAGATGTGTGGTGCGATATGGATATAAAGACTTGCATAAGAGAGACGATGATTTTGAGAAAAAACTCTTTCATAACCTTTTCATATTTGTTAGGCTTGAGTCTATGATGGAGGGTTGCTCAGATTCAGAGGAAGAAAGTTTGTATTATCAACAAACTGAGCAGACAAGAGATGGCATGTTGAATAACAATAGAAACACAGTTTCATCATTTATAGATACTACAATTTCATCAGTAGATGGCATGATGGAGGGTTGCTCAGATTCAGAGGAAGAAAGTTTGTATTATCAACAAACTGAGCAGACAAGAGATGGCATGTTGAATGACAATAGAAACACAGTTTCATCATTTATAGATACTACAATTTCATCAGTAGATTCAATAGTAACAGCTGAATCTCCATCACATGAAATTGTTACTGTTCAGTCCTCTGGTCAAGTAAACAGAAGCAGCAAGAATGGGAATGATGAAATTGAATTTTTGAACAAATGCAGGGATGCAGGGGTGGTTCACATACTAGGAAACACAGTTGTGAGGGCGAGCAGGGGTTCAAGAATCTACAAGAAAATAGCTGTTGATTATATATATGCTTTTCTGAGGAAGATATGTAGGGAAAATAGCACGTTCTTGAATATTCCTCACGAGAGTCTCCTAAATGTTGGACAGATTTTCTATGTGTAGCCCCCTCTCCCCTTTGCTTTTCCTTTTCTTTAGCACAGGATCAGTGAAATTTATCATGTGGAACTATAATTTTATACAGTTCGAGTCTGTTTAATTTTTTAAAAATGAAGGGACAAAGACAAAGTGCATGTTAAGGGCTAATGATGAGAGTTGCTTATATATCTAGTGAGGAACATTCAAGTTAGCGTGGGAATTACGTTTGGAGGCAGTGACTTCGCGCTACTAGCGCGAATCTCGCGCTAATAACGCGGTTGCTCTGTGCTGAAATATGATGCTGGCGCTAATAGCACCAGTGGCGCAGTGAATTCACTCTTATGGTTTTCTGTGCTACTCAATTGGAATCCTTTCTTGTACTTTTTCCTACAAAAATATAAAAAAATTAGTGACAAGATACCTGAATAGGATTTATTAATTTATTGACAATTGTGAGCCTTTTCATTCAAGATTGATTAAAATTCTTGTTCTTCTTGGCTTAAAGTAATATATATGCTGACTCTTCATTTTTTATTACTCACTAAACCACCTAAAAATATATGTGGAAAGAAAATGAAAAGACTAAAAAGTCATTTCCCTTCATTCTCTCGTCCAACCTTTATTCACACTCATTCTCCTCTGAGCTCTTCACAGGCATTCATCCTCTCATTATATTCTTCTACGAGGTTGCCATTAACACAAGATAAGTTAATTTTCCTCCATCATATATTTTCTTCACATAAGATAACAACTCATACCTAATATTTTAATTATAAATACATAAATATGTGAGAAATAATTCTCAAATGAAGTTCACGTGGTGTCAACGTATGTGTTGTTTAGATTTGTTTCAACCCCAAAGTGAAATTCACGAGGTACCAAAATGGAAAAGAGAAAAATTTCAACTTTTGACAGCTCCGAAACGCGTAAACAATCATATCACCATTAACAACAACCATTGTATATATCAGCAACTTTGTTAGAGTGATGTATGTAAATCTGAATAAATACAAATGTAACTAGTAGCATGAAAAATAAAACTACAAAAGAGAAGAAAAGAAAGAAAGGTTGGAGAATGACATAACTAAGAAAAATAAGCAAAAGGTACGCGTCACTTTTCCTCCAAACGCCGCAGCACTGACTCGGCAAAGTTCTGTTGCCTACAAAGCATGATAACCAAAAAAATTAAGTAACATGACACATCTAAGAATTAAAAAATCTAACATAACATGACTGGTACATGTAAATTCCAACAAATAGAATTAGAAAAACTTGCAACATTAACAGTTATCAAATATTAACATAGAATAGAACCAATCCTAACTGTAATGGAGGAACATGAGATGAAATACTGTTAAATGCTAACACAATTTTGAGAAAAATTGAAAGGCTCAAGTAACACATTTGACACATCTAACAATTAGTTGTTCCTCCAAACAACTGAGATCAAATGCTTCAATCATCAGCAAATGATGCTTAGGTGGATATAATATGATCCACCACAAGTCCAAAATTTTATAAGAAACCAAAATCCCTTAAAATTCATAATTCCAATTATAAAACCTATGCCACAGGCCATATGACAGCATAGTTGATCCCAAGAAAAATAAGGGAATTGAACTTACTTTCTTTCTCTATGCTTTGGGCTAGGACGAGTATACTTCAGATATCCGTCCCAAGGAACCATTTTAAGGCCAGCACGATGTGAGATTATCTCTCTCACCCTGCATAATTAGAACAAAATAGAAACAATTTTGACACTAAAAGAAAGCCAAACATAGACCTCTCTTAATGCAATTGGGATCAATATTATTTACCTCTCTGCAAACTCAATGGGTGTCTCTCCTGGTTTCAGATTTTGTGGCTCCAAGTACCAAACATCACAGACAACTGCCCAAGATGTCATTAGCTGCAACAGATGCGTAGTGAATGATTGCCTGCAAATGCATGAAATGCAGAATCTCTATAACAACAATAAACAGTGTGCATAGTAGAAATAATTAACATGATAAACATCTTACTTTCGACTATTCCAAAAAGCATCTACAAAAATTTTATTGTACTTGATTGCAACTGGGCAAACTGTGCAGCCAAGTTCAAATGCACCCTAAACACCGTTAAAAATTAGAAGGCTTCAATAAAAGTTTCCTCAGTACAGGAACATGAAGAGAAGTAAATGTGTACAAAATAAAAGAATAATAAGAAAAACTTATTCATTAAGTAAGATAGGAGAACATAACTGCGTTTTACATTGACTGCGATTGCAAATGATTCACGTACCTTCTTGAACATGACCGTATAGTGATTATTTACACAAGTTCCTTCAGGAAATATGAGAAGAGGGTTGTTGTCAGCTCCTTGGACATGTTCCCTCAATCTGAAGCATGAAAAATTATGTTAGCAAAACGGAATTAGATCTTAGAAATATTTTCTAACGTCTTTCTTTTTACTCACTTCCTTGCCACAATTTCTCGATCCTTTGCCTCTGTACGATTGAACCAGATACATCCTACACTCTCCAAAATGGTACTCTGCAATAGTCCTGCACAGTAGCTAATTTCTTTGATAAAATTCATAAATAAATTTTTGTGTCAATTGTCTCAATTTTAGTAGATAAAACCAAAGACCCAGCTGGTAGGCTGTTTGACACATTGATGGTAACAATGGAAATGCTTAGCATTGTTGCTTATGTTCGTATCATAGCTATGTTTGGGCTAACTTGAATATAAAATAATAGAAGAATAATATGTTGTGTATTGATCTGTGTCAGAGAGTTACAATATATAGAGACCCTAATGGGCTTAAGTGAAAGGCCCAAACCTAATCCTAATACAGTCAGGATACAGTCAGAATATTTACGAATAAGACGGAATCCAATCATATCTAATCATATCTAATCATATCATATCTAATATTCTAACACTCCCCCTCAAGCTGGTGCGTATATATTATGAGCACCAAGCTTGTTACAAATGTATTCAACCCGAGGACCTCTAAGAGCTTTAGTGAAAACATCCGCTAGTTGATCAGAGGAGTTGACGAAAGCAGTCTTGATTTCTCCTGACTGAATCTTTTCTCGAATGAAGTGACAATCAATCTCTATATGTTTGGTCCTCTCATGAAAGACAGGATTAGAGGATATATGTAGCGCAGCTTGATTATCACAGATGAGTGCCATGGGTTGTTTCTGTTCACAAAGATGAAGCTCCTGAATCAACTGCTTTATCCAGACTAACTCACAGGTAGCATTTGCCATTGCACGATACTCAGCTTCTGCACTAGATCGAGCAACAACAGGTTGTTTCTTGCTCTTCCACGAAATTAAGTTTCCTCCAAAGAAGACACAATAGCCAGAAGTAGAGCGCCTGTCCGAGGGTGATCCTGCCCAATCAGCATCTGAATAACCACAAATTTCTGTATTTCCCTGATCTGAATACAACAAACCTTTTCCTGGTGCTCCTTTGATGTATCGGAGGATCCTCACAGCAGCATCCCAATGTGAATCACAAGGGGAATCAAGAAACTGACTAGCCGTACTAACAACGAAAGAAATATCTGGCCTAGTCACAGTAAGATAGTTGAGCTTCCCAATTAGCCTCCGATAACGTCCAGGATCAGATAACGGCTCCCCCTGTCCGGGCAATAACTTGACATTAGGATCCATAGGTGTATCAACTGGTTTACTCCCCAACATACCAGTTTCTTCTAGGATATCTAGGGCATATTTCCTTTGACAGATAGAAATGCCCTGTCTGGATTGCGCCACCTCAATTCCCAAGAAGTAACGCAACTTCCCAAGATCCTTTGTTTGAAATGTACTAAACAAATGCTGTTTTAACTGACGAATTCCGTCTTGATCACTTCCGGTGAGAATAATGTCGTCAACATAGACTAACAAATAGATACACTTATCAAGAGATGTAAACCTATAAAACACAGAATGGTCAACTTTACTGCGGATTAAGCCAAACGCCTGAACAGCACGACTGAAGCGACTGAACCATGCTCGAGGAGACTGCTTGAGACCATATAAGGATTTCCGAAGACGACACACCTTTCCAGACTCCCCCTGAGCAACAAAACCAGGTGGTTGCTCCATGTAAACTTCTTCTTGTAAATCACCATGAAGAAAGGCATTTTTGATGTCAAGTTGAAGGAGTGGCCAGTGACGAACAGCAGCAAGGGCAAGAAAGAGGCGGACTGACGCCATCTTAGCGACCGGAGAAAATGTATCGCTATAATCAAGGCCAAAGATTTGAGTAAAACCCTTGGCAACTAAACGTGCCTTGAGACGATCAATATGGCCATCAGGTCCAACTTTCACAGTAAAAACCCAGCGACAACCAACTATAGACTTCTCTGGAGGAGCAGAAACAAGGTCCCAAGTGCCATTGGAATGAAGTGCAGTCATCTCATCAAGCATTGCTTGGCGCCACCCTGGATGGGAAAGTGCTTCACCTGTGGTCTTAGGAATAGAAATAGAAGAAAGACTAGAAACAAAGGTGAAATGAGGTGAAGAAAGACGGTCATAACTCAAAAAGGTATAAAGAGGATAAGGGTTACGAGTAGTACGTGTACCTTTTCTTTGAGCAATGGGAAGAGTCTCTGATGAAGGATCCAGAGGGGAAGAAGCAACAGCAGTGGGTGATGAGTCAGCAAGAATTGAGTCGACAGGAGGCACAGTTTTGCGACGCTGATAGGTGAGAAGTGTAATGTCCCACATCGGTTGGAGAGGGGAACGAAGCATGCCTTATAAGGATGTGGATACCTCTTCTAGTGTGAGGCCTTTTGTGGGGTGTCCCAAGAAACAAAACCGTGAGCTCGACGGTGCTTGTGCGCGGGGCAAAGCGGACAATATCATGCTACAGGTTTTGGGGCTGTTACATTTGGTATTAGAGCCTGGCCCTGGACCGGTGTGTACAGCGGGGACGCTGTATTCCCAGTGGGGGAGGATGTAATGTCCCACATCGGTTGGAGAGGGGAACGAAGAATGCCTTATAAGGGTGTGGATACCTCTTCTAGTGGGAGGCCTTTTGTGGGGTGTCCCAAGAAACAAAACCGTGAGCTCGACGGTGCTTGTGCGCGGGGCAAAGCGGACAATATCATGCTACAGGGTTTGGGGCTGTTACATTTGGTATCAGAGCCTGGCCCTGGACCGGTGTGTACAGCGGGGGAGGATGTAATGTCCCACATCGGTTGGAGAGGGGAACGAAGCATGCCTTATAAGGGTATGGATACCTCTTCTAGTGTGAGGCCTTTTGTGGGGTGTCCCAAGAAACAAAACCGTGAGCTCGACGGTGCTTGTGCGCGGGGCAAAGCGGACAATATCATGCTACAGGGTTTGGGGCTGTTACAAGAAGTGGATGGTCCTCAGGTATAGAAGTAATAGGTTGCTCATCTGGAATAGAAGCACCTGCAGCTGGCAAAGACAAGTCAAGAAAAGGGACAGGAAGTACATGATCAACCTGTGACATCTGAGATGGGATAGAATTAAAGGGTTGTTGATCAAGAAAAGTGACATCAGCGGAAACTAAGTAACGCTTAAGGTCGGGAGAATAACAACGATAACCCTTTTGAAGACGAGAATAACCAAGAAAGATACACTGAAAGGCCTTGGATGTTAACTTATCCTTACCAGGAGTGAGATCATGAACAAAACAAGTACAACCAAAGACATGTGGAGTTAGAGTATAAAGAGGAACATCTGGAAGCAATAGATTATGAGGAATGTCATTGTGGAGCACAGATGAAGGCATGCGATTGATGAGAAAACAAGAGATGAGTACAGCATCTGCCCAGAAGTGAAGGGGAACCTGCATATGAATAAGAAGGGTACGGGCAGTTTCAATGAGATGTCTGTTTTTACGTTCAGCCACCCCATTTTGTTGTGGAGTGTGAGGACAAGTAGTTTGATGTAAAGTACCTTGTGTGGCCAAGAAATTAGAAAAATCAATAGAAACATATTCCTTAGCATTATCACTACGTAGAATACGAATAGAAACACCAAATTGAGTATGGATCTCAGTAGAAAACTTTTTATAAATGGAAAATAGCTCGGAACGATTTTTCATTAAATAGGTCCAAGTGCAACGGGAAAAATCATCAATAAAGGTAACGAAATACCGAAAACCTAAGACAGACAAGGTACGACTTGGACCCCAGATATCTGAATGAACAAGAGAGAAAGGGGCATCAGCTCGTTTATTGACTCGACTGGCAAAAGAGGAGCGTGTATGCTTCCCTTGTTGACATGACACACAATCTAAAGACTGAAGACCGGACAAAAGAGGAACCATTTTCTGCAACTTTGAAAGACTTGGATGACCTAGGCGACTGTGGATAAGTTGTGGAGATTCTGTGAGAGAATGCTACTGAAGGACGAGGCACATCCAGATAATAAAGCCCCCGTGACTCACGACCCACTCCAATCATTTTCCCCGTACCCGGATCCTGCACAGAAACAGAATGGTTAGAGAAAGTAATGGTGCAAGTGAGGGAGTGGATCAACTTACTAATAGAAATTAAGTTATAAGGGATGCCAGGAATGTAATAGACAGATGTCAGGGCCAAGGTAGGGGTCGGACGAGCTTGTCCAATCCCACGAACTGGGGCTTTGATTCCATCCGCAAGGGTAAAAGACGGTAAATGATCAGAATAAGTAAGAGATGTAAAGAGTTCCTTATTACCACAGAGATGATCGGTAGCACCGGAGTCAAATATCCAAGTGCCAAGTGATGTAGAATGAGAAACACAAGCAACGGGATTACCAGTATAAGGCTGAGACTAAGGGGAAGCCTTCCTGAGAGGGGTTTGGAGTGCAGCATAGTCCGAACCTGAACCAAATGATGCATTGTCTGACTGAGCTATATTTGCAACAATAGAAGGAGAGTTAACCTCCGAGAGATCAGGAGATGCTGCTGCCATTTAAAGATAAAATATAAAAGCCGTAAACGAAGGCAAACGATATCCAATCAAGAAGAACCACGCGTCTAAGGTCAGACCCACAGAGAAACAATCACAGATCCAAAATGGGGAGGAGAAGGCGAGCTTCTTTGTCCAAGACCGGCCGGAAAAAGCAGCCGGAATAGTGCTCACGCGCCGGCAGAAGGTGGCGCATGAAGCCCACGCGCAGAGAAGACAGGTGGCGCGTGACGGCGCGTGGGAGATGCGTTGCTGACCGGACCACCACAGACCTGGTCGCCGGGAAGAGAGGGTCCTGATCGCGTGATGTTTGGTCGGAAAAGTCGCCGGAAAAAGTCTCCGGTTGCCTGAACAGTGATTCTGACGGCGGGCGGTGGTTCCGGTGGCCGTCGGAGGTGCTGACGCGTTTGGAAAAATCACTCAGAGGCTGTTTACAGCCCTAGAAGGCTTGCCGGAAGGACGCACGGCAAGAAAGAGGACTCCTAAGCAGTGGGCTTAGGTTTTAAAGCAAAAAACAAGGTTTCTAAGCGGAAGCGAGGGTTCCCAGAACGAAAGAGCTCTGATACCAACTTGAATATAAAATAATAGAAGAATAATATGTTGTGTATTGATCTGTGTCAGAGAGTTACAATATATAGAGACCCTAATGGGCTTAAGTGAAAGGCCCAAACCTAATCCCAATACAGTCAGGATACAGTCAGAATATTTACGGATAAGACGGAATCCAATCATATCTAATCATATCTAATCATATCATATCTAATATTCTAACAGGCTAATAGCTATTAATATTGGAGGGACTATTGGGATAAGTCAGCAACCTGAAAGTGTCCCAGAGATCATTAATATTGGTTTTGCGGCTCGTACATCTTTCTTGTTTAGTGCTTACAAGGAAGACATTTCTACCATTACTCATGAACCTTTTAAGCAGACAGGAAGAAACTTTGAAGCTGAAGATGAAATTATGAAGTTCTTGGGAGGATGTCATTACAACATAAGGACACTTTCAATCTTTCAAGTTTCAACCTTGACGACAAGGTTCTTTCATAGGGGGTTGGTGATAAAGAATATTCCTTAGGAAATATACTTAGTCATTAGAAAGTTAGTTAGAAGATGGTTAGTTAGTTCGGTGGATTGGTTTAATTAGTATAAAAAAGGGGAGTCCTTACTATTGGAATCAGTTTTAGTATTTTTTGAATATAGGCTGAGTGTGCTCAGTTAGAAGGGGAGTGCCCCTTGGCAAGAGAAGTGTCTCTTGTGTGTTGTTTGTTTCTCTTTTCATCAATAAACAGATCTCTTTTCTTCCATTTCCATTTGTTCCTTTGTTCTTCCTTTCTGTAATACCCAATTCCAATTTCTAAAGAATCCAGAGCCGTAACAGTGTTTGACATTCCAGACAGACATGATAGCTCTATATACTTACCAACCCATCCAGGATGCTTCTGCATGATAACAGCAAAAGCAGTCATCTGTTCTAAGATAATGAAATCAATCATGGAAGTATGGTTGGCCACAAAAACCTGTTGAACAAATAAAGGTAAAGCTCAGATAAGTAATAAACAACATTTACTCTTAATTGAATACATAAATAAGGATTGCTAGGAACCAACAAGGATAATATGACAACATTAATAAATGTTAGACAAACCTGTTTTGGTCGCCTGCTAGGCCTAGGGCCATGGTACTTGACAACCCCAGTCCAAGATGCAACAAAGAAACTGCACATCATCTCCACCAAACACCTCTGAAGGAAATGACCACTTTACAATACAGTTAATGTAGAAAATCAGAATTCAAATTCAAATATTTTTCCGTTTTTATTTATTAGGAATAATTAAGATTAATTAGGATTGATTGTTTTTATTTCCTATTAGTTAGGATTAATTGTAATTAATTAGAATTAATTGTGATTAGGTTTAGTGAGTCATAGCTGAGTCATTCTTATGATTGTGATTAGGTTTAGTGAGTCATAGCTGAGTCATGCTTAGCTATTTTTTCTTGTATAAATACTCATCATTCCTCATGTAATTATTAAATATCGATATACTGAAAACCTTTTTCAATATGGTATCAGAGCAGGTTGGTCCTGAGAAAACTCAGCCACCACAACCACCTTCAAACCGGCGGCACAACGCCGGAAAACTCAACCTCCAACCATTATTAAGGTTATTTTCCCTTCCTACAAAGTCCCAAGAGCAAAGTAAGGCTACCAATCACTGTAGAAGGCAAAATCCCAGCTTTCCACCGCCGTCAGCCACCGTCAGCAGTCGTCGGAAAATTTTTCCGGCGACATTTCTGACCAAGATCCGCACCATTCGAAACAGAAGGAGCCGATCTACAAGTTTCAAGAAGGACCATCGGATTCTGTTGAGCCACGCCCCCCCACGCGCTAGAGAAAGGACGGAGCGTCCGCCCTACGCGTTACCACACGCAGCCATGTTGATTGAAAGTAAATTTCCATCCAGCAATGTTGCTCAACAAGGTATAGCGTTCCATGTTGATAATAGTAGTCAATGGATTCTTGATTCAGGGGCTTCAGATCATATGACAGGTAATGCAACCTTATTTTGTTCTTATACCCCTTACTATCAACAATCACGAATAAGAACAGCAGATGGCAGCTTCTCTACTATTGCTGGAAAAGGATCCATTAAACTTTCTGAACACATTACTTTGAACTCAGTCCTTCATGTTCCCTCTCGTACTTGTAACCTTATCTCTATCAGCAAACTTACGTCTGAGTTACATTGTGTTGCCAAGTTTTCTGTCAATGCTTGTATTTTCCAGGAACAGGACTCGGGGCTGATGATTGGCAGTGCTAGAGAGGAAGAAGGACTTTATTATTTAGAAAAAAATTCTTGTGAAGGAAAAAATTTTATGAACCACTCGGTATGTTTGTCTGATGATTGTAATGATGTTTTGTTGTGGCATCGTCGGTTAGGACACCCAAATTTCATTTATCTTCAGAAGTTGTTCCCAAGCTTATTTATCAATAAAAATCCCAGTTCTTTTTCTTGTGATATTTGTCAGCTTGCAAAACATTCTCGTGTTTCTTATCCTCCTAGAGTCCATCATGATTCTTCTCCATTTACCTTGATTCATAGTGATATGGGGTCCAGCCCGTGAAAAAAATATCTCTGGTGCTCGTTGGTTTATAACTTTCATAGATGATCACTCTAGGGTATGTTGGGTATACCTTCTAAAGGATAAGTCTGACGCTGCATCCATTTTTAAAAACTTTCATGCTATGGTTCAAACTCAGTTTCAGACCTCTATCCAAATTCTTCGAACTGACAATGGTACTGAATATTTTAATTCTGTTCTTGGAAACTATCTCAGCCAGCATGGTATTCTTCATCAAAGTTCTTGTCCTAACACCCCTCAACAAAATGGGGTGGCTGAAAGAAAAAATAGACATCTCCTTGAAGTTGCTCAAGCTCTTATGTTTACCATGCATGTCCCTAAATATTTGGGGGGGGAAGCTGTCTTGACTGCAGCATACCTCATCAATCGGATGCCTTCTCGTGTCCTAAATTTTCAATCTCCTTTATCTTGTCTTACCCACACCTTTCCTTCTTTCCGGGCTCATTCTTCCCTTCCTCCCAAGTTGTTTGGCTGTGTGGCTTTTGTACATGTTCCTCCCCATCAAAGGTCCAAGCTCGATCCTAAGTCCATTAAATGTGTCTTCATAGGATATCCTCCTAACCAAAAGGGCTACAAGTGTTACTCATCTTCACTTCGTAAGGTCTTTGTTTCTATGGATGTCACATTTGATGAGAGACAATCTTTTTTTCCTTCGACTTCTCTTCAGGGGGAGTCTATTGGGGTTGATTAAGATAAGTCTTGGAAACCAAATGATTCTGTTTTGCCTTTGCCGTTGGAGACAGGGGGAGTCATTATGCAAAAGACAGGGGGAGTTAATGTGTCAGATAATGGAGATCCTCCCGGGAAATGGGGAAAGTTTTACAGCAGGCGAGAATCACCTCAGGAGCCTCTAGACTGCCAGGATTCTGACTCGAGTCTTAGTTCCAGCAACACTGATACAGCCAACCTAGATGTGCCTATTGCTCTCCGAAAAGGTACTAGATCTTGTACTGCTCATCCTATTTCTCATCATATCACATATGAAAAGTTGTCCCCAGGTTTTCGTGCTTTCAACACTATGTTAGACAGTACAAAAATACCAAAAAATATCCAAGAAGCACTTGATGATCCAAAATGGAGGAATGCAGTCTTTGAAGAAATGGATGCACTCAACAAAAATGGAACTTGGGAGTCTGTAGCATTACCCAGAGGAAAGAAAACAGTAGGTTGCAAGTGGGTGTTCACAATAAAGTTTAATGCAGATAACAGCATCAACAAGTATAAGGCCAGACTGGTTGCTAAGGGATTCACTCAAACTCATGGGATAGACTATCAAGAGACATTTGCCTTTGTTGCCAAGCTTAATACTATCCGAGTTCTTTTATCACTTGCTGCAAATCTTGGTTGGCCCTTGCAACAATTAGATGTAAAGAATGCTTTCTTGAATGGTGATCTACATGAAGAAGTTTATATGGATCCACCACCTGGTTTTGAAAATGGAGACGATTCAGTATGCAAGTTGAAAAAGTCTCTCTATGGTCTTAAACAATCTCCTAGAGAGTGGTTTGAGAAGTTTACTCAAGCTGTTAAGGGAAGAGGATTCTTCCAAGCTCAGACTGATCACACTTTATTTTTAAAACACTCTAATGGTGGTAAAATTGCTATTCTCATTGTTTATGTTGATGACATAATTGTCACAGGTAATGATTGTGAGGAGATAAGCCCTTTGAAGAAATGTTTAGCTAATTAGTTTGAACTGAAGGATCTTGGATCTCTCAAATATTTCCTAGGCATGGAAGTTGCTCGAAGTAAGGCAGGAATTTCTTTAACTTAGAAGAAATATATTCTAGACCTGTTACAAGAAACAGGAATGCTTGGATGCAAGCCAGCAGAGACTCCAGTTGAACCCAATATTAAATTGGGAATCGAAGATGGGAAAGAAGTTGACAAAGAGCAGTATCAGAGATTGGTGGGGAAGTTGATCTACTTATCTCACACTCGGCCTGATATTGCATTTGCAGTTAGCATGGTTAGTCAATTCATGCATTCTCCTAAGGAAAAACACCTGAGTGCAGTTTATAGAATTCTGAAGTACCTCAAAAACACCCCTGGTCGAGGATTGTTCTTTAAAAGGGGACACAAGAGGATGATTGAAATATATACAGATGCAGATTGGGCTGGCTCTGCATTGGACCGAAGATCCACTTCAGGATAT